GGCACATCCCCAGTGGGGAGTGTGCAGGAGGCAGCTGATCGATGTTTCTCTCTCATCGATGTTTCTAACTCTCTATCCCTCTCCCTTCCTCTCTGTAAAAATCAATAAAATATATATTAAAAAAGAAAAGAAAAAATGTGGGTAAAGAGCCCAGGAAACAAGGCCAGGGTACCAGGGCTGGGATCCTAGACTAGTGCAAACAGTCAAACTGGAAAAGACTCTCAGAAAGCAAACTAAGTCTAGAAAACGTAGCAACAGAGGGCACCAGACAGCATAAGGCAGGAGAGAGGGAAAGCAGGAAGGCGAGATTTCTTAGAATCAGAGCAAGAGACATACGGGCGTGAAGGGTCCACTGACTCATTCATTCAATCACTACCCATTGATCAAGTCCCGGCACCGCGCTGGGCACTAGATACACAGCAACTAAATTAAAAAAGTTTAACTGTGGAAATAGACATGGGACAAAACATAATTGCTATCACAAAGACAATAAAAATCAATAAAAATGCACGCATGAGGCTTAGTGATAACCACCACTAAAGCTGTCCCTGTAATAATGTCGCCCTCACTGATGTGGGAGAGGAAGGTTGGTGTCACAGCCAGCACTCAGGAATGGCTTCCCCACAGCCTGTGCTACGTGTGCAGCCGCCATGAGTGGGCAGATGGCTAACACACCAACCGTCAGCCAATTTCAAACCAACCTATTGCATTGAGATGTAATAGTTATTTTTACCCTTGGCTTTCATTTCCTGCAAAAATCTTCCCGGGTTTGGATAAAATTGGGTTTAACCTTTGAGAGTGTGTATGAATATGGATGTCATCCATCACATGTGGTGGGTGGAGGGAAAATTGAGAATGGCTGCTGCTCGCAGCTGAAGATGAGTCACACTCCTTAGACCAGAAAGAGAGCCGAGTGGGAGGGAGCTGCAAATACGAATCTGGTTTGTGTTGCCTGGAGGCCACCATGATGTCAGAAGACCTCTCCAATGTGGAAAAATCCCCAGCCCAGTTGACCCAAAAGCCTCGTGTCAGGGCAGTCTCCTTACTGTGGGGTCTGCACACTGTGCTAGGAAATTTGACTGTTGCTGAACTCTTTGTATTTTCTATTCCTCTCTATTCTTCAGAAAAATGTTCAGAAATGCCAGATATATATACATATATGCTTCCTCCAATGAATATGTATTGCTTGCTTGATTTTTAAAAATATATTAAATCATATGAAGAAAAGACTCTTGGCCCAGCCAGCATGGCTTAGTGGTTGAACATCAATCTGTGAACCAAGAGGTCATGGTTCAATTCCCTGTCAGGGCACATATCCGGGTTGCAGGCTCCATCTCCAGTGTGGGGAATGCAGGAGACAGCTGATCAATGATTCTCTCTCATCATTGATGTTTCTATCTCTCTCTCCCTCTCCCTCCCTCAGGCAGGGCTTCCCTGACTCTTTGGCCACCTGCCCTCTCCTTCCAGGCGTTATCTTTCATTATTAAGATTAAGCACCATGCCATGGCTTTCCTCTTTGGGAAGCTGTCTGATCAGATACTCTGCCTGTTTATTCACTGGGGCCTCAGTGAGTTCTTCTAAAATCAATTTATGGAAGTTCTTGCTATAGCTGCCTGCGTATTTCCTAGTTTGTGTGCCTTTTTATGAGTTTCCTTTCATTTTTTTAACCTGCCAAAGTTTAAAATACTTCTATAGTTAAGTCAGTTAACCTTTCCCTTTGTGACTGCTTTTATTGCTTCTAAGATGGAAAATGTCGTCCTTCCAGAGATTTGATAGTTTTGTGTTTCCAGGGCTTTTAAGCTCTTTAGTCCATCTGGAAAGTTCCTAGTACACCATGTGAGGAAAACATCTAGAGGGTTTTTTTTTCTTTGATACTAAACAATTTTCCCAGACTACATAGAGAATAAATCTCTTCATTTACCAATAATTTCTTATTCCACCTTTATGATATATTAAGCTCATGTCCATCAGGGCCACCTTTTCCCAGGCAACCTATT